ATTATTTTTTTTTATTTTAATTATACAATAGAAGGCAATTATCTCTCATCCCTTATCCCACCACAGCTGCATATTATGCGACTCTAACTCAGGAACTCTTATTTCTAGCAGAAAAAGATAATCACTGAATTATTTAAGTTATTAGTAAAAATAAATAAATCTTAATAATTAAAAATAAAAAAATAAGTGATCAATATTTTATATAAATACGGTAAATAAAACTTATGTATAAATAAATTCATATTTATTAAAGTTGAACCCACGAGTGGATAGATGAATTGACAGAGAACTTTTCCAGTTTAACCAGAGGTCTTGGTTTTAAGTTTTGGGAATGTAACACCGTTAAAACTTGCGAGGCAAAGTTTTGTCTCCCATTAGGTCTTGTCTGGTTCAAATCTGAATTAATCGGTGATCCAATGAGCTTTCGGATATCATGTAGTCCATACTAAAAAAATATATTTATTAAAATTGATACTAAAAAAAATAATCATTGTAAAATTAACTGAATATGAATATTTTATATACAGATCTTATATATCGTATTCATATAAAATTTGATCATTCATCCCTTCATTTTCTTAAAATTAATTTACTTTTTATCCTATTCATTAAAAATAAGTATATTTTTATCTAAAAATCATGATAAATTTCAATTATAAAAAGTTAAGAAATAAATAATTAAAATTTTATGTAAATATAATATGTAAGACTTACATATAAATAAATGTCTATTCCTAATTTATTATTTTAAGACAATTGAAAATTTATTCTATCAAATAGAGTTTTTGAACAAAAATTACATATAGATAAAAAGAAAACTTCTAATTGTGATTTATATATTTTGTTAAATTTTTATATGAAATTAATATTTAAAAAATTAAAAACTAAATTAAGATAATTAAAGTTGAATGTAAGAAATAACTTTAGTTTTTTTTATGTTTTTTAATTAAAAAATTTTATCATATACTTTTAATACTTAAAACACGTAGAAGAAAAAGTGGGAAAAAAAGCCGATAAAATAACTGAGTTATATTTTATTGACATTGTCTTTTAGAATAAAATCAGCACAATTATTAGTGCAGTTGTTTTGTATTTTTTTAATTCAAGTGGTTTGATTGAACTCCACTAAGCGTCCTGATGTGTTGACGCGGGATGCGTTGCGCACGTCAACGAGGGAGGTGAGATGTTCATTAAATATGAGAATCAAATTTTCAGTTGCTAACAATTAATAAAATTAACTTACTAATCATTACTCTTGTAAAAAAAAAAAAG